ACCTCAAGTGGTACTCCCATGGAGCCTTTGTGAAAGGCTCCAGGCCAGAGAGTTTTGAGGGTTAGCCTCTTCGATGGCTTGCTGCCGGAGAATCGAGGCTTCCCTCTGCTCTGACGGTCCTACCGATGAGTGGCCTTAGGGCACAAGCTAACCTGACCGGGACAAGCGGGGGAGACCAAGCGAAACAACGATTGATGTGAGCGAGGTCAAGAATGTGACCAACAATGAACGTGAGCTCTAAGTAAACGGATAAACGGCGCCCCCTCCCCATGGGAAAAGCGGAGTGCAAAGAGGGACGCCTCTGAAGCACAAGGACAGATGAATGCAGCGAAGGGGGAGTGGGAGGAAACAGGCAGCGTGTGTATTTTGAGAGACTTACTTGAGTGCAAATAGCAAATTGACGAGTGCTTTGAGCCCGGGAGAAGCAGTTTGAAAGTGTAAACAAAGTTGAAAAATGGCGGCATCCCGAGGAAAGTTTAAAGTGAAGCCTGGTAGTCAGAGTCCAAGGCCGGAAGAGGGAGCTGACATCATGAAGCTGTTAGCTGATATGCTCAAGCCAGTGATGGATCAGCTCGATGGTATTAACCAGCAACTGACCTCGTTAAATCAAAACTTCGCTTCACAACAGCAACAGCTGGCAGAAACGGAAAAAAAAGTGGAGCTGGTGGCTGAGAAACTTACAGAGATGGACACCTCAAGCAAGAAGATGAAGAAAAGAATGGGTGAAGTGGAAACGAAACAAAATCTTCAAGAAAATCGTTTGTTGCAGCTGCAAATGGAAAAGGCTAATATGATTCTCAGGTTCCAGGGGGTTCCTGAGACAGAAAAAGAAGATTTGAAGAAGACTCTGGGTGAGATTATCGCTCCAATGACAGGCTTGCTAGTGGAGGAAATAATAAAAGACATGGAGACAGCTTATAGGGCTTACTCCAATTATATTTAAAAAATAGCCTGACTGGAGAAATTGTGGAATCAATGATAGACTCCATCTTCAAAGCCAAGGATTTTTTGCGACGTCAGCTGGGATCGGGGGAAGAATCTAAAGAGGAAGAAACTAAGTCAAGTGACTCAGCTGCCTCGGGAACGGATGAGGACTCTGCTGCAGAAGCGGGTGCGGTAGCAATGAAAACTATATGATTTTAGAGACAGAAAGCCAAAGTAAGGGCAGAAGGACTCTGATAAATGGCTCTTTGAAATAAAGAAGATGCTCAGAAAGTTCTCTCATAATAACTAATTTACTAATACAGAACAATGTGAAAAACAAGAACTCTTCAAGTATATTGTTTTACTAACTCTTTTAATACTAATATTAAGTTTAACATAAAGGGGGTCTCCCACTCTTGGGTTTTTAGTTAGTGTGGGTATCTTTCCTTTATCCATAGTTGTAGTTCCCCCTCCTATATTTGTAGTCTTATTGAAAAAATAAAAATACCCCTCCGGGGGTTTAAAAAAAGAAAGAAAGGAATAAACAGCTTTAAAAGGTGATTAGACAGATTAATGGAGGATAGGCCTATCAGTGGCTACTAGCCATGGTGACTTAGGGGAACCTTCACATTTAGAGACACTAAACCTCTGAATCCCAGAGCCAGGAGGCAACATCAGGGAAAGGTCTCGGCCCCTGTGCCCTGTTGTTGGTCCTCCAGAGGAACTGGTTGGCCCACTGTGTGAGACAGGATGACCACCGGTCTGATCCAGCAGGGCTCCTTTGTCCTTATGAGTTCGAGGGCCAAAAATGAAACGAATCAGAATATCTTGGCCCACGTTCTCTTCAGACCTCCCTCCCCATTCTATTTGCAATGGAAGCTAAGCCAAATTCTAATTTATGTTCCTCATTTATTACCACTCTGGCAGATTAACATTCTGTTATCATGCATGTAAAGGGTGGGGGGAGGGCAAGCATCCTTTTACTACTTTGATAGATTATGGAGAAATATTAACTCTTCCCTTCTGTTCATAATGTTAACAAATGTTTGTGCTATACTGCTATTAAATATGTTCTAAATTGCCAACCAGCATGGATGAGAAGGAGTTGAGACCAAGAGTGAAAAATAAGGTTGGAGGGGAGAGAAACATTAGAAGTGGGTATAGAGGAATGGTGGATGATGAAAGGAAACAAGCAAAATGAAGGAGAAGAAAAGTGTGGGAAAGAGACAATTAAGGAAAAGACAACCAAAGGGTTTTTTTTTTTGTTTTTTAAATCTTGCTACCACACACTAACAGAGCTGCCTCTTAGCAAGATCTGGCTGTGCAGAGAAATCTGTGGAGTTGGGTGGAACTAAAGGAAAAGTGAAACTGTTAGGGTTGCCAGGTCCCCCGGGGGGGGGGGGGGGACTCCCACTTGATGGGTCTGTGGGAACCCCACCTCAAAAGTGTCGGGAGTACGGAGACGTGCCTGGCATGATGACGTCACCCAGAGGTGACGTCATCTTGCTGGACACGTTGCAGGGGGGCACTCTATCATTTGAGGGAAAACTCTATGGTTTCCCCTCGAATGATAGTGGCCCTGCCCCAACGTGCCCGACGCGATGACGTCACTTCCAGGCTGGGACAGGGTCAGGACTCCCCCCGCTGCAGCCAAGGTAGGCCTTGGCAACCCTACAAACTGTAGACTTCTGGGGATATCAATCTTATTAGGAAGCCACACCCCAGCGATGACTGTAGCTCATCCTGGCTGGTCTTGCCTTGCTTCAGTGCTGGCTTAGCTGATGGCTTTAGGAGGATCTTGAGAAGCAAGGGTTTCCCTCAGCTGCCTAGTAGACATTGCAGAAAGGCCTGGGCAGCAGAATCAGAACAAATCCTGTTTACTGTGCTCTGCCTTCCCTGCTTCCCTAGTGGCTGCAGTGCAGAACTGCATTAAAACTTTTTTTAAAAAGTTGCCCTGGATTCACTAATTTTTGTTTCATGCAGGGAATTTTGTATGGGGGAGCATTCAAAAATTCCTTACCTGTCATCTGGAGTGATACAGGCTATTATATCATCTCCCCCAACTGCACATAAGGATCACACCATGATCTGTTCCTTCATGGAGTAAAACACTTGATGGCCTCTTTCTGCTAGTTTTTTTTTTTAATACCATTCCTGTTTTGAATGGTATAGCAGAATGGTTGAGATCTGAATTTACAGGTTACTCTGCCTCTGTGTGTGTGAAGGAGTGAGTGTCACACACACAGAGAGAGACACACACTACAGGATATATATAATACCATGTGACATGGTGTTACTTGGTCAATATAGGAAAGTGCTCTTAGGCCCCGGTCACACACGAGGATTTGGGCTGGGAGAGGGACGGATCGGATGCGTGGCAAATGGGCGCGATCCCACGGCAACATCTGGGAAGCGTTGCGTGCCCGTCACCGATCCGTCCCTCCCGCCCAAAACCCCGCACCAAAAAAGAACCACCTACCTGGGTGGTTCATCCGGTAAGGCCGCGGCAAGTGCGGCCGTGGGATCGCCAGCACATCCTTCCGCCGGCGCATCCCCAGCTCCTGGCCGAACTGCGCATGTGTGAGCATGCGCAGTTCGCCAGCCTCCCCCTCCCACCGTCGTTTTCTCCCCGGCATCTGATCGTGCCGGGGAGCAACGGCGCCGCGGCTCAGGGGATCCGTGGGATCCCGCCGCGGCGTCTCTAGTTTGGTGCGGCTCAGATTAGCCGCACTTCGGCCGTCGTTTTTCCTGCCGTGTGGCAGGGACCTTAGTAGCCATTCCCTGGTGGTATCTGAGTTACTTGTCTCATGATTAATTCATTAGACAAATAGCCACTGAAATCTATTCTTGCACCACTGAAGTGGAGCCAGAACACTCTGTTGTTATAAGTAAACGACCCTTATTAAATTAGAATAATTAAAAATAACTTAAATTTGAAGGTAAACATCTGCTTATTCTCTGTGCCTTTATTTTTAGAAGCAGTTGCTAGGAGAACGGGTACTTGAAGAGGGACAGTGGCAGAGTGAGCTATTGTTGCTTTTATTTTTATTTTTTTCATAATCAGTTGTAATTAAATATTTGACAGATGGGATAGAAATTTCAGAATTAATGAGTTTATCTGAAAGACACCAGGTGCCATTACAGCTTTCATGATCAAGAAAGTGCCTAATCAGTACTGAAACCTAGTCCTCAATTTATTGCTAAACAGTACAGCTTATCGAAATTTGAGGCAAATCTCAGTATGAAAGTACAGGCAGTTTGCCAGTGAGAAGCTTTCACTGGATATACTCACTTTGTGTGGTTCTTCAAGAGGCTACGGTCTTGAGTCACGTATTTCCCCTCTCCACTGCTTGCAGTTAGTGCCATAGAGGAGGTTGTGTGCTGCACTGAGTGCTGGAATCCAACAACAATCCAGGAACATTTTGCTTTCCTGTATTGCTTCTCCTTGGGATGCAAAAAGTTCTCTGCCTTGGCCCTTTCCATTGCACTTTTGGCCCTCGTGCAAAAGAAAGGATGTCAGCATTGCAGCTAACTGTCCATTTTCTTTGGGTGTTTCACTGTGATTTTGGGCAGGCTCATCTGACCAGATATTCCAAATCCCTTGTTTTAAATGCTCAATCCCCCCAGACTGGTAACCCATCTGTAATGTGCATGCTACAAAAATGACTGCTTCACAGCATTAATCTTTTCTTTACAGTAATGCAATTGAAAAGGACCATGCAACCAATGCTCCCTCTAAGCTGTGGAGTCTTGTGAGCAAAAATTCTACTCTGTGAGCTACTGGCATTAAAGTTGTGAGCAAGCGATTTGGCTAGTGCATAAATTAGTTTGCTCTGGAGCCAGCGATTTGGCTACTGCATAAATTAGTTTGCTCTGGAGCCATCCTTCCTGAGGTAAGACAAAAACGTGTGAGCTGGAGGCTAAAAAACTGTGAGCTAGCTCACACTAACTCAGTTTAGAGAGAACACTGCATGTGACTCATATGACCAATAAAATGAAATAATAACTGTGAGGTTGGAATCCCAAAGGCATTTTAACCCACAGTGCCATTAACTTAGTTTCCTTGTGTCCTACAGAGCAGCTCTTGAAGACCACAGTGCCTTTGAGGCAGTGCAAACGTATGCAGCCAACAGGTAAAATCAGCAACCTATTCTGCATGCACAGAGAAGCATCTTAGGTGTACCAAAGAGGTCTTTGGCTCTTGGCATATATTTCTGTGGCTGTCTGTATATATTAAAAAAAACACTTCTGATCAATACTGCATGCTGCTAAATGATAATGGCTTTTATTACTATTCAGCCCCACTTTAATTTAATTTACAGTCAATTGCAATAAACATGTAATGTGGATTTTTGCCAAGAGGATAGAATTTGCAGACTTGTATATATGCATTGGAGCAACTTGATAGCCTCTTCCATTTCCTTAAAGCCTTTTCAAATGCATGCTTATTTTGTATCTTACAGAAGTTTATTGCCTTTTGAAGTCTCAGCATTCTTCATAAAAATCCTACAAAGTGGTTCCTGTCTTGTATACAAGCAGGTTTCCGAATTAGCTTGTAACATAAATTGTCTACTGGGTGTCCTATGTTTGATTTTCTTTTGAGTTTAGGTTACTTATCACGTTGTTTTTTTTCTTAACCTGCCCCCATTTTTTATTTTATTTATTCATTCTTAGATTTCAGATTTTTCTGCAAACTTGGGCTTTTCTTAGGTTTCTAGAAAGCTCTGTCTTGTCCATTCAAGGCTCCAGTCTCCAGATTTAAGTATCCTCATATTTGGCCAAATTGAGAATTAGGTATGTTGTTGATGATACCAGGTAAATTGGTGGAAACCATTAAACTGGCTAGTTCATAGAAAACAGAGAGTGAGTGTAGGTGGGCAATTTTCTCAGTGGAGGGTGGTAAGCAGTGGGGTACCGCAGGGATCAGTACTTGGTCCACTGCTTTTTAACTTGTTCATTAATGATTTGGAGATGGGAGTAAGCAGTGAAGTGGCTAAATTTGCGGATGATACAAAGTTGTTCAGGGTGGTGAAAACCAGTGAGGATTGTGAGGCACTCCAAAGGGATCTGTCAAAGTTGGGCGAGTGGGCGTCAACATGGCAAATGGGGTTCAATGTGGCCAAGTGCAAGGTGATGCACATTGGAGCCAAAAATCCTAACTATAAATACACGTTGATGGGGTCTGAACTGGCAGAGACTGATCAAGAGAGAGATCTTGGAGTTGTAGTGGATAACTCACTGAAAATGTCGAGACAGTGTGTGACTGCAATAAAGAAGGCCAATGCTATGCTGGGGATTATTAGGAAGGGTATTGAAAACAGATCAGCCAATATAATAATGCCCCTATATAAATCAATGGTGAGACCTCATTTGGAATACTGTGTGCAGTTCTGGTCACCACACCTTAAAAAGGATATTATAGCTTTGGAAAAAGTGCAGAAAAGAGCAACTCGAATGATAAAAGGGTTGGAACACTTTCCCTATGAGGAAAGGTTAAAGCACTTGGGGCTCTCTAGTTTGGAGAAATGACGACTGAGGGGTGACATGATTGAGGTTTATAAGATTATGCATGGGAAAGAGCAGGTAGAGAAAGAGGTACTTTTCTCCCTTTCTCACAATACAAGAACTCGTGGGCACTCCATGAAATTGCTGAGCGGTCGGGTTAGAACGGATAAAAGGAAGTACTTCTTCACCCAAAGAGTGATTAACACATGGAATTCACTGCCACAGGAAGTGGTGGCGGCTACAAGCATGGATGGCTTCAAAAGGGAATTAGATAAGCATATGGAGCAGAGGTTCATCAGTGGCTATTAGCCACAAGGTATAGATAGGGGCTCTGGGGCAAGTGATGCTCTGTCTTCTTGGTGCTTGGGGGGGTCAATAGTGGGGGGGCTTCTAATGTCCTGGCCCCATTGGTGAACCTCCTGATGGGACCTGGTATTTTTGGCCACTGTGTGACAGAGTGTTGGACCAGATGGGCCTTTGGCCTGATTCAAGATTGGCGTCTCTTATGTTCTTATGATAATACATATTACTCCTTTACCTGGTGTTTAGACATTCTGATAAACTGTATAAAAAACTGCAGAGCAGAAGTAGTTATACCATTTATCTCTAACAACACCTTTGTAATCATAGTTTCCTTCTTAAAGTACACGTTTAAACCCCATTAAGGGATGTTGTCACTGTAATGCTTCATATAGGGATGTACCGGGACATGCTCTAACTCCTTGCAATCATGGTTCATTAATCTGTCTTCTTTTCAGACAAAATTAAGCTCTTTGGTCACAACATTTGATTCATTGTTCCAGACAAATGGCTTAATTTACTTAATCCCAATTTAATAACAAAAACCAAACAAAAAAACCCTCTTCCACTAATCTCTGAAGACTGCCAACATGTAACCCCAAGAGTTCTCTTGTTTTAAAAAACGTAACAACAGCATAGCTCAGCCTTTCCAAAGGCTCTATTTTTTGCAGTTGACTTATATGGGTGGTCTTTCTGATGAATTTTTCTATCATTGGTATCTCAGTAATGATGGTAGAGCTCTTGCTTCCACTGCCTTTTTATCAACCACCTTGATTTAAATTATACCAGTATATGTGGGTGTAAACATTTATTTTAACTACATTAAGGATTATAAACATTCATAGAGGACAGGTCTATCAAGCATCTTTAGCCATGATAGCTAAATATTTGAAATTATTTATTTAGTTGCTCAAGTTCTTTTCTATCTTTCTACTTGAAGATGATCAAGGTGGCGCACAGTGTTAAAAGGCACACATTTGCAGATATAAATTTGAAATTCAGGAGAAAATAATGAGTAAACTTTCCTTGCCTTGATTTTGAATAAGTTTGGGGCTTATGAGCTTTTTCTTGATGAGCTTTTAAAAAAAGATTATCTGTTTTTCAGGTGTTTTGACCCAGTTGACAACATTGCCACATGAGTTGAGACACACACACACACACACATTCATATAATCATATTGATTCCACTTCACTCCAAAACTGTAGTTTGGTTTTACCAGTCCTTCAATTACCCATCAGCGCCAACAATAGTGGAGAACTGCATGGACATTCAAAATCTCTCTTCCTCTTCCCTACAGCAAACTGTCTCAGGGCTGAGAGATTTAGGTCTGAACAAGCAGGGACCCGCAAAGAGCTTGTAGGGAGGGGGCATTTAACTCCACCTGCCTTCCTGTCTTCCCATCTTCCCCCTCCCCCACTTCTTTTTTTTAGTCTCTAATTCTCCTTCCCTCAGTGCCTACTCTCTCTCTCTCACTCACTCATTCTCTGTCACTCAATGCCTACTTCTCTCTTTCTGTCTTTTACTTTCTCTCTATTTCTCCATCCGCCATCCCATCTTTCTTTCTGTCTTCCTTCTCACCACCACCACTTACAGTGGTGTTTTGCGTCTGGTGTGCCTGCTTCCTCATCTGTCACTGGCCTTAGCTGGGCTGGTTCCAGCAGCTCCACTGGCAGCAGGAGCCACTGAGAGGCAGCAGTGGCAGCAATGCTGGGAGCTGTGTGGGCCCAGGGTCTGGAGGTTGGTGGTGGTGATGCTGGGAAAGGCGGCTTCTCCTGTCTTCCTCCCAGGCACTCCTCACTCCTATCTGTCCCCCTGCTACTCTGTACACTCACCCATTCTCCCCATCCCACTCATCAGTCGAACCACTCGCCAGCCAGCACACCCAGCTGAAATGCTGCTGCTACCTGCCTGCTACAATGGCTCCCTATCACCCACTCCACCTTTGGGCATCAGTTCCAACAGAGATGCATTGTCTGCACATGCACAGACAATGATCCTCTGTTTGGGGGAAATTTAACCCCCACATTTGAAATAATTTCTCCCTTGTCTCCAAGTGGCCCCGATCCATGGATTTAAGTATGTGCATATGGGGCCTCACTGAACTATCAGAATATGTGATGACGAGGAGGAACAGAAAATGTTTATATGAAAAAAATCAAAAAATTGTACTCCGGTATAGAAGATACTTGGTGAACAAAAGGCTAATCACACAGTTCACAAACACTGAGAGTGAGGGAGTAATATTACAGAATTTCCATGCATATACCTCAGAAGCAGCTGTCTTTGCTGAATGTTGACTCTGCATAGCACCAAATCTGACTGAATAGTCCTCTGAGAAAAATAGCTTTTGACCTGAGCTGGAGAAATTCATATACTGATTTAGGTAATTAACTTTGTGGCATCTCTAAAGGAAAGCACCGTAATTAAGGAATAAAATGTTAAAATAAAGGGCACTTTATAAAGAAGCCTTTTCTTCTGAATACCAAATTCATGTTGGCCAATCACCTTCATTGTTTGTCTGTGAGCTTCTAAAGGTATTTGGCTGACATTTGGAAACAAAGTGCTGGATGAAAGGAATATTGATGTGATCCAACAAGAGAGTTCCTGTGAGCTCATATACCTATAACATTGGTCTTCTGTATGTATTTTAAGCAGGCTTTGTTTAAAGAGTTGGTTTTAATTTTACCAGTTATTATGTAAGTGCAACAGTGGTTATCCCTGTGAGAACCCCATGAGTTATTCGATTGCAGGGAATAATTTTTAAAATGTTATATTTTTAGAGACTGAGATCATGTTAAAAAGTTACATGTTAATATGAAGTGGGATACTGAATATATTAGGTTGAATCCTGCAATCTGCCAGTGGATGGTACTGATGATCACAGATCTTTCCTGTGATCCCCTTTCCTCAGCAGTCACTTCTGACCTTGGTAACGTTAGTTTTGGGGTTGTGGGATGAATTTGGACGAATAGCTGCATAGGTTGGGAGCTGTAGTGGGGTGGACGAAGTTGCCTTTTGTGCATCTTCCATCAGCAGAGGTCAGTCGACATAAGGAGAGGGGAGCAATTTCAGTACTTTCCTCTTTCTCATTGTAGCCTTCTGGCTTATGTGGATATTACTCCATATAGTTTGCTATAATTCCACAGGGCCTGCAAGATGGAGCTCTTCCACCAGGCATTTGACCACATCTGACCACATCTAACATCTGGTACATCTGGTTATAACATCAGAGCCTTCCCTAATGCTGCCATCATCCTTGTTGCACTGACTGACTCCTGTCACAAAAATATTGGATATGGCAATATCGGAACATGTTCACCATTGCAT